TCTTTACACAATATAACCCATTATTATATTCAACATAATATAAACCAACACTCCAAAAACAAATTATCAATATTTTTAATAAGGATAGATATTATAAACGGAAACTAACATGATATATTTCATAGTGGGAGGAAAATTCCCCCATTCTTGCATAGTAGATTTCTATGAAGAAAAATAAGTAACTATGGCCAAAGCATTTTTGAGAGAGAGAGAAAAAAAAAAAAAAAAAATCATTTCGGCTACAAGCTTTGAGTCGAAGCTTTTTTTTTTTTTTTTTACTGATTTTAATAGGTAGAATTTTGATATAGTAAATTTTGAAATCAGCTCCTGTTCGTTTAAAAGTTTTTCTTCTTGTCCTCCCCCCCTTCTCTCTGAACTAACATTTTCTACAATAACAAAGAAAGCTTGCCTTGATTTTGGAAATCATCAAATTCTAATAATGACAGTTTTTTGGGGGGTGGGTGGGATTGAACAGCAAAGGATTCTGGTCACTTATGGCTAACAAAGACCGAAGAATGACCAGGCCAATAGAAGCCTGAAACAAAGATAAGTGAATAATTCATGGAAGAACTAAGGGTTTTCATTTCAATGTGATAATTGAAATTGTTGTTAAAAACATAATGGAAAGAGTCTAAAGTAAATATTAATCTCAAGTGATGAATTTATTTTTATGCCAAAATTATCCCATATAAACGTTCTTGCAGATTTAGTAATTCTGAGTATCCACAAACAAAAAACCCATTTCTCAGAATTGTTTGTGTTCCCCTAATTTCATCTTTATCAGCTTGATAGAAGACCAGGCCAAGACATTTTAGTCTTTTTTAAATTTTTTTTTTTTTTATTTGGTTGCATACTGATAATATCCAAATTGACAGTAAATCTGAAAATTTTTACTAGACTAGCAAAAAGGCCAAAAAACAACATTTGCGTACTTAGGGGAATAATCAACATTTCCAATAACTGTAGTTTGATTCGATGTGTATATCGAAATGACATCCCTCAAATGATCCAAGGCAAAGAAACTCAAAAAAATTACACCTAGGTTGGAAATTACAGCCTGAAAATGATTTAAGTCTATTATTTTTTTTGCATAAAGACTTTTTCTTTTTTTTTAAGAAAAATTATATTCCTGGCTAATTGAACCAAACAATAATAGAGAACAGAATTATAGAATTTAGAAAGTTTGGTTCAGGCAAGAAAACATTTTGACAAAGGCTTTTTAATTTGGAGATTCTCACATCCCAAAGCATTATAAATGTATGCCCAGTACTGAAAAGAAAATGGATTTCATGCAGGAGAGTGAAAGTTAGAGAAAGGACGATGGACGGGGGGTACGATTATAGTGATTTTTACAACAAAAAAAAAAAAAAAAAAAAAAAAAAAAAAAAAAAGTTTTCAGTTGTTGCAAGGTGTGTGCTCAGTACTGACTCGACACCGCTTCTAAGAGGTCATTTGAATGTTCTGTGTGACAAGAAGCACGTATTTTAAACTTATTCTTGGGGGAAGGCGAGAGACGGCAAACGTATTTTGTCAAGTGTACATTTAAAGAAAGACTTTACAATTATTACAGAGCTAGCCAGAAAAAGGGTTGTACTTTTAGTTTTATTTGTCAAATAATAATTGAAAATAGATTTTTTTCCAACTGAAGTAGAAGGTTGTAAAATAAATGTAATGTAAGTTAAGCAACAAGTTACCTGGTCACAACTAAAACGAGTAATTATTTGGAAAAATAAAAATTAAAAGTAAAACCAAATTATTAAGGACTTAAGTGCCTTTTTAAAGAATTAGATTGATTAGAGAGCGAGAGAAAAAAACTGTATCTGGGGATTCTGTATATTTCCTTTATTAAACAATCAACAAAAAAGTGATTTGTATTTCGGGGCCGAAGTTTTTTTTATAAGAAAAAAAAAATTATGTTAAAAATACATTTTCCTCCAGTGTAGTGTACAGGATGGGTCATGAGAGGAATGAGTTCGAACCTGTGGTTTTACAAACCTTGAATAAAACTAAAACAGAATTAAAAATAAAATAAGAAATCAATGAATTGTCTATCAAAAAAGACCGTCCTTTTGTTAAGAGCAGAACTATTCTGGTAGATAAGGTGAAGAAGAGAAATAAATAATAAAAAAAAGACAAAAAACAATAATACAGAGAGCAAGATCGTTTTTTTTAACCCATTTATAAACTAATAAACAGAATAATAATAAAAAAAACTTTATTATCTAAAAATCAAGTTTTAAATTAGTTGACCGATAAAAGAAACCTTCTGGCATGTAATTAGAAAATTTTTTTAAAAAGTACCATTTTTCTTACAAGTATGGCTTCAATTTCGGTAACCATATTTACCGAACCTCATACTGGGTAGATGTCTTCTTGCGGCCTTTGAACAAACATCATCATCATCATAATAATGTTAATTAATAAAAAGTGTGATTAAAACTAAAAGAAGATTAAAAGGAAAAGTTATGTTTTGCTTGTTAGCATGTGTTCGCCCCGATTTACGATAAAGTAGTCACGTGACAAAACATTTTATTTTTCATCATGATACCTGCAGAAAAGTAAAACTAAAAACAAAAAAACAAGTACAATCAAGGGGGGGGGTCAAGACTACCCTCTCACCTCTATTATCTTTTTGTTTGTCTAAAATTTATTTTACTGGGTGAAAAAAACGTGTATTTCGCAATGTCGGCCTCTACTACTGGGAAATAATGATTAGCGAGCAATTTTCTTTTATTATTCCGTCGAGATTTAGATTTAAAAAAAAAAAAAGAAAAAGAAAGGATTTCCTCGATTCCTTCTTTAGTGAGCCTTCTAAATATGCTTTATGTAATTATTACATAAAAAAAAACTATAATAGTCTAGAGAGGGATGATCCATCTTCAAGCTAATAATAATCCGTAGGTAGGTAGGTAGTTAAGTTTGTTAAGCAAAAAACAAAACCAAAAGTTAACGAACAAAAAAGAAAATCATTAATTTGCTTTCGACATACTTTTAAATGTTGTTTAACACGAAACAAAAATTAAAAAGATAAGACTTTCGAGAAATTGTCTCTTTCCAAATTAGATAGAAAGTTGAAGTTTCAGTTTCCGTGATACATTCAGACACGTCTTTTAAACAGAACTATTAAGGCTATATAAAAAGAAAAAAAAAGGCGTGCCTGATGCCAATATTCTCCTTAATCCCCCAAAATGCAACCCAAGTGAAGAGAAACCTAAATTCTACCATTAAACCAAATTCGAAGTGGTTTTGGCTACTGATATTCCACCAACTGAAGAAAAAAAAAACTGAGGGAAGTGAGTTCATGATAACGAGAATCCTCAACTCAGCACTTTAGATAAGATTTTTAAATGAGACCTGTGTGGATGGGAAACTTCATGGCGACCCACTTGCTAACTCTGCAAAACATCCTCATGTGAAAGCCGACGAAGAAAATATTTCTTCTTCCTAAATCTAAAAATAAAATATGACATGTACGCGATTCCATAAAAAAAGTCTTTTCTTATCAAGAATCCGAACTACAAACAGTCAAATCAAACGGAATACGGATGACCAGAAGTGCAAATATAGCAACAACAAAGGCTGCATTTAAACTTTAAAAGATACATTTTTCGATGACAAGGTTAAAGGGTACAAGACTGCTGGTGGGGTTTTGTCTAAAAACAATTGACTACCAAAGATTTGTAAACAAACAAATGTTTTTCATTGCCGAGTCGATTATTTTAAAAATAACTCGATAAAAAAAGTATTTGGAACTTTACAGGAAAGACAATAAGACATCAAATAAAAAGTGGACAAGTCTTCAATGCAAATATTTGGATTTCAGGATCAACAGAAATTTTCACTAGAGTTTTCTGTTTTTACACACAAATTTCCATCTCCACATTTGGTTATCAGGGACACCTGCTGATAAGTTTTCAAAGTTTAGACATTTTTACTTCTAAAGTTTTTGTCAAAACATAAAAACCCATTTGTAAACAAATTAAATACCTTATTTGATTTTTCCTACACAATTGAGTTCATCTGCGAAAGGATTTTTTAGAGCGAGAAAAAAAAAAAGCCTTTGTAGGTCAGAGTAGGGAAAAAAGTCACAATACAAAGAGACTAAAAAATTATAAAGTTCTTTTAAGACTCAGTGATTAAATCATGACCATTTTTTTGTTGTACAGTAAAATGTATTGAACAGAAGTAAAACGTGGAAATTTCCTTCCACTTTCTTACGATTAAAAAAAACAAACTTGTCAATGTCTTTAAAATTGAAGACTTATTTTTAGTTTATAACTAAAAATTTTTTTTTAATGTTTACATTTCATGTGAGTTGACTTATGACTTAATCTTCTTGAACTTGTCAAAACTCGAAGATGACTACATTTAAAATCTAATAAGAAATTTTATTGTAATGATAATTTTATTTTTTAACTTAACTTTTAAATATTTAATTTGTCTTTATATTTAAAAAAAAAAAAAAAGAAAGTTAATTCTGTTCGTTATGGTAAAAGGAAATTTGAAGAGAATTTGACATCTTTTTTTTATTTTATTTTTAAGCTTGTTTTTTAGATTAATTTTCAACTAATGACTGTAAGATCTTCAAGAATTCACTGAAACAAAGCAATTTGTGTTTGTCATGAAGATTAAGAAATAATATTTAGAATTATGTACACGTTTTCTTTTTTTAAAGACCGGAATGATAAGAAACTCATTGTTGTGTACTTTGAAAGAAGACTGTCAAATTAAGGAAGCCTTAAGGTTTCCTTTTTAAAAATAAATAGATTTTATAGATAGAATTAATAGATTTTAATTTCAAAATAAAAATAAATCACAAGCAAACAAGAAAGGTTGATTACTTTTTTTAAAATATTTTAAAATAATGTTAAGATATTGAAAACATAATGAAATTAATTAGTAAACACAAACGAAAGCTTTTTACTTTAAGAAGTGTAAAGAATTTTCATTTCAGTGTGTCAGTGTAAAATTAAATAGATATATATATTTTTAATACTAACCTGAGGACTGTAACACACCCCCTGTCTAAAGGCAGGCTAAGGACTGGCTCGGATACTCGAATTGGTTTGAAAGAGAATTTACATCCAAAGCAAAGGGTACAATCACTGAAAAACGACACAGACACAATAGGTCTGTCAAAGATATGTGGAGGGTCCACATGGGACACTATACAACCACCGGGCAAATAATCATTTATGACAGCACTGTTAATAAAACCTTCTGGTACGACCCCAGCCTGGTATAAAGGTTTGATTACAAGTTCTTGGATCCAATCTGGTATATCATCAACTTCTCCTTTGGGGTAGAGTCTCTCCATACCGGGGCCTTTTTTATGAAGTTGGGACCCATAAGTGTAACCTTCTCCAAAAAAGTATTTGATACGTAAGGGAGCCCTGTCGACCGTGTGGTCCTTATAGTAGCCTTTCTTACCTAGACTGACCACTTCGTCGATTTTATCTTCAATTCCTTCACATTGACAAGTATTAAATAATCTTCTCTGTTTGATCCCGGAATGAATGTTGCGTAGTTCGACCTCTCTTAACTTTTCCTCTTCGGACGTCTTATTGATGTTACTGGCGCCGTCCCCGCCCAATGTCCTCGAGCTGTGATATCTTCCTTTGCTATAGTGACCTTCGGACAACAACTGTTCTCGTTGGTAACGTCGTTTACGTGACTGTTGGCTATTGAAACGATTCCAGTGTTGAGTGTCTCGCAGTTTCTCTCTCAAGTCCAGGTAACCGGCCGCCATTTTGGCTGTCCTCTCACTCTTTATTTCTTTCTCTCTTTCTTTCTTTTTTTCCCTTTCTACTTCGTTTCTCCGACCCACAATGCAATGCGGTAAACATTGAGACACGTGCTACCCACAATGCAACTCTGCACACACACTTACACACAGGATTTTTCGTTTAATTATTTAACTACTTCCATATCGGAAGTTGACCTTTTTTAATGGAAAAAAAAAATTTAATATTATTATGAATATTTCTGTAATACTAGAAATACAAACACAATACGAAAAACGTTAATTTTTAAAAGCATTTTCCATGACACCGACAATTTTAAAATACATAAATATTTTTTTTTTGCGGGTAGAGGGAATAAAAATTAAAATGTTTTTTTTTTAACCATCATCATCCAAATGCGCCAGTCGTAGAGCTTCAGATTCATCTCCAAACTTAGTACAAGCAAATATTAATTTGTTTTCATATAAATACATCACTAGTGGTATGTCACAATAAAAACCTAAGTTTTAAGCAGTAAGCTACTTTTTTTTGTATCTATGACTTTGGTAGTTAAGTTTAAGCCTTGCTCTTCACAATTCCGCAAGGCCACAAAAAGAAAACAAAGATCAAATTAAAATTAATTTAATTTTTTTTAATTGCTTATTAAGTTAACCATGACACCACGGCAAGTTGATTACTGGGTTTTTAAGTTATTTACAGTACAATGTACTGTAAATAACTTAAAAACTGGTTGTACTGAGTACAATATTGAACCAGGAAGCTAATTTTAAATTTAGGTAGAAATATAAAATAAAAAAAAAATGCGTTGCCTTCTAATCTTTCAAATGTGAAATGCTTTCTTGCCTCGAAAATCAACGTTCAGAAGTCTCACTTTAAAATCAAAAACGAGTAGAAAGATTGTTTTTCGCCATATCTTGTTTTGTTACAATTTAGGAAATCTTGTATCTACTTGGAAAATAAAACTGAAACATCAGGAAGTATTAAGGTCACAGTTTGTAGCTAAATAAATACCGAGTAAAACGGATTGAGCAGGAAATTACTTTTTTTGAAAGCACCGCTCCACAGAAAGTGTCCTGTTCAATTTGAACTTATTTTTCATTAAAAAAAATTGTCTTTCATTGCAGTTTTGATGATACAGTAAGAATTTTTGGTTTTCTATCATGAATGGAATATTTTAACTCTTGATTTGTGTATTAAAAACTTATTTAATTATATTTTTATTGGCTCATTTTACTGTTTCAAGTTTGATGAAATAATTTGCGTTTTTCTGAAACGCTAAATTTCAATTTAATTTTTTATTAACTGAACATTCGCCTAAAAATGTCGAGTTCTCGTATTAAGATGGAAGAATTATCTCCCTTGTTAATTACCGTGTTTTTAAATGCTTAAAACTTCCTGCATAAGTGATTACTTCTATCAAGGAAATTGGAATAAACACGAAATTAAAAAGACAAACAATCTAATCTATATCCTAGCAAAATGTTAGAAAATCGTCGTTAGCGAAATTGAAACACTCTAAGGCAGATTATTGCTTGTAAGTTCTATTTTTTCTGCATACTTTTTTGTGACCTTGGTTGCAACTAGCAATTCCAATAGTAAAATTATTAGATCTAGGTACTAATCTAGTTCTGTGCTTAAATTCATGAAGTCGAGGTAGCAAAGAGGAAAGTGATACTTATTCTGTGTAAAATACTGAAATGTGGCACAAGGCCAAAAGGAGGAAAGGATGGTTTTCTTGTCTTATAATTAAACTTAGCTTGCTACAATTACTAAGCCAAACATACCACAATATTCTTTACACCAAAATAATACATTCTTACTACATCCACCATAATACCTCAGATGAAGTCCTAACTAGTCTTCATATGTACATTTTTTGTCTGTGGCACGGAGATAAAAACTAACCATAATGTGTGTATATACAGTATATGGTCCAACTATTTACAGAAACTAAACAAAATAGTGTTAGTAATAAAATGCCCTACAATCCTTAATTGTGACAGAAACAATATGTAAAGCAGACTCAAAATATGAAAGGTGTCCCACATTCACCAGAGAACTGATATCTGTGGTCACCTAACAGGGGAGAGGAGGAGGAATTAAACTAAAGAAAGTAACAAAGAGGAAAGCTCATCAGAACAATTACCATGAAAATATTTATAGAAAAAGCCATAGAAAAGCTACATTATGTTTGTGGGAAAATAGCTGAAGCTGAGATACCAGGTCAGGGCCAATAACATTGCAGATTCTTCTTCAGATTTTATCAGTAATCACAAGATACATAGCAGAAGCACTAGGCCAGATGTAGCAGTAATACTCGATGTGTGGAGTAAACATAGATTTATAAATGTGCAAAATTGTTTCTGGTGTGATTCCAGGGGGGAAAGATTTTATTTTATTTTTTGTTTGTTTTTAATTTGTTAGTATTACTCAAAATTTTCATCCTTATTTTAATTTGTCGATTAGGATCTGTGATTTCCCATGGGTTAAACAAAATCTGCGGTGATTGTGTGTGACAACCAAATGCCCTTTTTGCTTCTAAAAGGTTTCTGAACAGCTTTTGATGATAAACAAATTTCACCTGGTAGGAAAAGAAAAATCATAGAACAAAAATTTATGACAAAAGTAGACAAGATTTTGTAAATCTGGGCATTCCTAATTTTAGCTTTAATGATGGTCTTCTCTCTTTCTCTCTCTCTCTCACACACACACACACACACACACACACACACACACACACACACACACACATATTATGTCAAACATTATTTATTGCACACTTTATATTTGAAATATACTCCCCATTTTTAGTGTGTATTAAGTCTATTGGCCTGCAGATTCAAGAAATCTTAGTAAAGAAAATGTGTACTGCTGGAGGGATTGAACCTGCATCAACCATTTGATGTTTGCATGTTTTACCCACTCAACCACAAAGAATGTCACAGTAATCAAGGTTCTATTTTTCCTTTTTAAAAAAAGCATCTTCTTCACCCAGATTATTTTTCTCAGAAACACATATCTGCTCAGTTTTGTATCCGAAATATAAACAGAGTAATTTTTAAAGAATGAATTTTTATTTTCAATCCAATATTTATAATACTTCAAATAAATCATATATATAAATTTGTGGGTAAGTAATCAAAGTAGATCCTAATAATATAAAATGAAATGGCAATCTGAATGGGGTAATAGTTTCATTTTTATCTAATTCATATATAAATATATATATATAGGCAGCAATTTTTCATTGATGCATGTTTCATTAAATAATATAGACAAGTTTTGTCTATTTATTTTTAGTAAGTTCCTTTCATATTGTCTGATTAGCTTAATAACATTATCATTGAAAGCCGAAAGGAAATCACCATATTGATACATGTTTAAATCCAATCTAAGCTTTCAGCTTACATAAGCCATTATCAAAGATGATAATAACTTTTCAATATATCAACCAATACATGGAACAATAATGAATCTGTTTTTGTTGCATGAAAAATTTCAAAGCAACGACTAATGTGTATACGAGACGCACAAGTGAAAATAGGTGACGTCACGAGCTGAGACACGATTTTCACTTCTGCGTCTCGTATACACTAGTTAGTTGTTGCTTTGAAATTTTCCATTCATACTCATGAATATCCTTCTGTGTATTGATATTAAATGATATGAGAAATGTACTATAACTGTTTAAATCACTTTTATATCCTGTTTCCAAAGTACTTTCAATCTTTTTCCAAGATCATCTTCAGGGGTGCAAATAGTACGAAACTGTACGTTCTTCAGGGGTACAAGTAGTTATACAAAGCTATGTGTTGTTATCCATTGGTGTAATATTTCATTATGGATAATTTTTTCACATTCTAATGAACACCTAGCACAACTGACAACTGTTGCATTTGGAAGCATAATGAAAAATTACAGTAATATCTGCAATATATTTAATCAGAAATATATATATATATATATATATATATGTATGTATGTATGTATGTATGTGATAAAAAATACAGTTTTAAGGTCACAAGCTATGTTTATGGGTTCAACACAATCTTTATGGCCTGAAGATTGCATTTAAGCATGAAACAGACTGTTGCCGTATAACAATTGTCTTCAATGTCTATTTATATATGTATGTATGTATACATACACACACACACATTATATATATATATATATATATATATATATATATATATATATATATATATTATATCCTAAAAAAGAACAGTAAGATTTATAATCCGGTGTTCTTATTAATTATTTTACCAAAAATATAGCAATAACTGATACATTAAAATATAGACATATTGAACACCTAGACACCCCTAGTCTAACAAAATAGATTTATCAGTAACCTTGGAAACATGAATTTTGTTTTAGCTATATTTAAAAAAAAGTAATTTTAAAAGTTACTCCAAAATTCGCTTCGAGGATGAAATGGAACTAATGTCTTTAATTTAATTAAAAATTAAATTCGAGGCTTTTAGCTTCAATTTTGAAACATGGTTAGAACTGTGTATTTTAAAAAAAAACACATTTTAAATCAATTTTATAATATATATATATATATATATATATATATATATATATATTTTTTGTATTTAGGCAGCAATCCTTCTTTCATGCACATTACATTGAATATGACAGATAAGGTGCTTTTATTTAGTTTTTTATACAATTTCTCATGCGATCTAATAATTTCTTCTTTTCAGATGATAGGTCTCCATGAATATTTAAATGAGATCTAATTGAGCTATGGTCAGAAAGGTGTAGAGTGAGTCTGCGTGTCAAATATTCATGGAGACCTACCAGACACTATGCGTAACATACTTGTTGACAACACAAATATAATAGCATCATCTACATGCAAAAAAAGGATAAAAATAATGGAAGTCTTATTAATAAAAATGAAAAAACCATTACTCAATAATATCAACTATGAACATGGACACAATATCTCGACCGTGTTTTGAAAAATGAAAACATTTTTAAAACATACATGCAA